TTTTTTTTTTTTTTTTTTTTTTTTTTTTTTTTTTTTTTTTTTTTTTTTTTTTTTTTTTTTATACCGGGTTACCACAACAGCCTACTAGGCCTAGTCGCGGGGGCCACCCACTCACCACCTATGTGTGGGGGTGTATTGCCACACCCATCTCTAAACCTTTTTCCTCGCCTCCTACCTGAATCCATGGGCACAGTGTGAGTATCTCCGGTGGAACACCTTGCCAGTTAAGCTGACACTCTCTGCACCGAGGGTGCATCGGGTCCACTCACCACTGTGTAGCCTTTCCCTGGAGAACTCCATTATTCCAGGACGTCCACTCCTCGCCGGTTAAGCTGGCGCTCTCTGCCGAAGCATCGGATCCAGGCTAATTAGCATCCCCGGAGAAGCCCCGTGTTTCAGGGGCCACTCCTCGCCGGTAAGGCCGACGATCCCTGCCCGACGCCTGGCATCGGGTACGCCAATCCCTACCTATAGCCCTAACACTGTTTCGCATTCACCCAGGCCCGAAAACCTGTGGGGCAAGGAAAAAACCCTGGAATTACTCTGAAGGAAAATTCTACGGAAAAACCCGCCCCGAAACAGCCGGCGTTACAAAGGAACTTTTCCCGATGAAAACAGTTTTTGAAAAAATCTGCATTCACTGGGAGTCGAACCCACGACCCCTAGAACTGCGTTGTATCAGTAACAAACACGCTTACCACTGAGCCAACACCGCTCCTTCAATACGCGTAAAAGATTTTATTAGATGTTACTAGAGATCGTATTCATCTTAATTATTTTAAGAAAGCTGTTTTCTTCAGTAATTCCAGGTGCAAAATAATCCGTCCGATGTCTTAGATAAATGCAGATTCACGTATTCTTCTGACTCCAACATAGGAGTGGTTCTGTATACTTATTGTATACACATTAATACACACATTACCAGCCTATGTAACCGTTTCATTATGTATACTACCTTTTTAACACTAACCCGAACAAAAATCTATTGAGGATACCTCCTTAGTTCGAGAGGACCTCTATAGGCATCCTACAGCGGTCCTACTGAGGCAAAGTAACGCGGCGTACAGTTGGTCCTCCTCATATATCCTAAATAACCGTGTACATAACCAAACTTAAAGCATTTTTCCAGTCAATAAATGTATGTGTAAATTCAATAAAAGCGAGGGACAGAAATAGAGTTAATCTGTCAGAGTAAGAGAGTTGCTAGATTTACTAAACAAATTATGATGACAATCGTTTAATAAATCTAAAATAAACTAACCTATGTATTATATGTAAATTATTGATTAAATGAGATATTTTGTGTCTCAAAAGTACTTAAATCACTTCAACTATTGATACTTAATGTAGTTATTTAACATATAAGTATATATTAAGTATTAAAAGTATAAGCAATGTCAGTACTTTTGAGATGCAATATCTCAAAACTATACACAATAAGCTTAAGTACAATGCCAAAAGTTTACATTTTTCATCTCTCCGCACATTTCCATTAAATAATCATTATAATTGCGGCGTTAAAGTAGTCATAAGTTCTTTAATTATTGTACAGCACGTAAAAGTAATTTAAACAAGTATCCATTTTTTGCACCAATCTATTTTTTATTCTATAATAAAACACCTGTAGGTATAATAGTGTATTTCGTTGTAATTCTGTCTCACTCTCTCATATTAAATTTATACATATATTTTAACTCTAGAGACTCTTCAAGTTTGGTTAGGTACACAGTTATTTAAGATACCTAAAGAGGACCTACTGTACGCCGCGTTACTTTCTTAGAGATATAATAAATAGAGCAGGGAAGCAAGACTGAGGCATGTCCACTGGAGCAGAGAGAGAAAAAAGGTTTTGGTACCTGTCTATCTCTCTCTAATTATGCTCTGATTGGTTGAGACTCACATCACCACATATTAAAACCTAAGCCCCTTCCACTCTGCGTACAATAAGTACACACAAATGCACTGTTTCAGTGACGAGTGAAAATCATAGGGGTATAAGAATAGAAGGGAAAAGCGCCAAAGATGAGTAGAGAGATTGCTAACGCCAATGCTATACGGCGTGAGACAACTTTTTTCCACTGATCGGGGCGACCCGCCGCGGCCAGCCGTCGAACCAAGGCGCACATTTTTCGAGAGTGCGAGACTCGTATCGAAGAGCGTGCGCCTACAAGAAGAGAAGTGGATTCGCGTGGAAATGAGCATATAGGCGCACATTTTGGCGACACGTAGAAGGGGTATACCGAATGTGTGCCTACGAGGAGAGGAGTGGAAATGTCGGCTATATAGCTATATATCTGAGCGCACAGCCAAAGCAAGCGACGACATGAGTTTTTCTCTTTTAACTGCAACCGAGTATATGCTATATATATTTAACTGACTCTTACTCTCTCGCTCTTGCTTGAATGATATCTATCAATCTTACATTCGATTAAATCGTGAAACTAAATGCTCATATAATTATATGCACAGAATTTGATATCAAAACATTTTTTTTTTC